AGTAATCTTAAGCCACTGAAGTGAACAAAGATGACATAATTGGACTTCTGTGTGTAAATAGCCATTCTTACCTATGGTGTAGAGTATGAGTTATGAGTGTGGTTGGGCCCAGAGATGGGTAAAGTATTTTACTAGCCCCATCAAAAAATAATGAAGACTTGAAGTAAATCAGTGGCCATCAGAATAAAGACGGCGGTGAGACTAAGGAATATGTATTTAAGCAAGCTGTCAGAGTACCGACCAATATTCCAAATGAAGTACTCCACAAAGAAACCTTAAAATAAAGAAAGAAGATTGTTTCCATGCTTATTCTACAGAAACCAAATTAACAGCGGTTCATATATTTTAACTTACGTCTATAATATGATGATCCGTTTTGAGCCAGAGGGTGATAATGGCAGAAAAATACATAAAATGAACTAGAATTTTAACATAAAAGAGCTAGAAATATCACATGCTATCCTGGCATCCTAAATGGAGGGACGGAAAGAAGCTGCCATTTTTTTTTTTTCTGCAGTCTAAACCAAGAAAAGCTTTGTCCTAAATATGCAAAGAAGGTGAAAGCCTACTTAAGCACTAACTATGGTACTTGAATTAACCATCAAACAATGAACAATGTGGAGATGGATTTAGAAAAAAGTATTACTACATAACAGTTGCTGCCCCAGGCTCCATTGATCTGAAAAGATATTTTTTAAAAACTTAAGGCCATGGCAGCAACCAAAAACTGTTTTCTATATCAGGCCTTTATTAATATCATCCCATGGAAAAGGTTCTTTTCAATTCTCCCCGAGAGGGGCTCAAAAGTAGCTTCTGAACAACTAACATAATTAAATTTACCATTGTGGATATGGGCCATGCAGTTTCATGTCCTGGCCCCTCATGTTACTGGCTGCTTACCTCTCTTCCTCAGTATTAGCTGCGGTTACATTCCTCCCTTCACTGGCATCCCAGTTACTTTCTCAGAAGTCAACACTTCTAATCGCTTTTAGACATTGCTAGGCCGGGCGCGGTGGCTCAAGCCTGTAATCCCTGCACTTTGGGAGGCCGAGGCGGGTGGATCACGAGGTCAAGAGATCGAGACCATCCTGGTCAACATGGTGAAACCCCGTCTCTACTAAAAATACAAAAAATTAGCTGGGCATGGTGGCGCGTGCCTGTAGTCCCAGCTGCTCGGGAGGCTGAGGCAGGAGAATTGCCTGAACCCGGGAGGCGGAGGTTGCGGTGAGCCGAGATCGCGCCATTGCACTCCAGCCTGGGTAACAAGAGTGAAACTCTGTCTCAAAAAAATAAAAATAAAATAAATAAAATAAATAAATAAATAAAATAAAAAAAAATAGACATTGCTGTTCGTCCCTCCATTTAGGATGCCAAGATAGCATGAGACCCCAGAACACACCTACTAGACTCATCTGGGTAAAAGGTGGGTGGATTCCCTGCCTTCTAGCACATGCAGGACTTTGCATACTCCTTTCTGCCACAGGGCTCTGCTCCCACTTGCATAGTCTTCATTTGCTTCCCATCCTGACTCCCACAGAAGATTTGCCTCTACGCTTATCTATGTCTTCCTGCCCTCTATTACCAGATTCAGTTCCTACTCCTACCTTTGGACCTTACCTACATAGCAAAATCCCATCTAAAACTCCTCTTATTGGAAATGATAGTGCTACTTTTGATTGAGAAAAGACTCAGTACTCAACTGAAATTACTTAAATGTATTAGAAAAGATAAATGCTATATGTAAGAAATGAGCAATGTCAGGCTAAGTTTGCTGAGTATTGTACTTCAAATGCAAGCTGAACCACAAGGACGTGGAGGCAGCAGTGAGGCATGATCATGCCACTGCTCTACAGTCTGGGTGACAGAATGATTCCCTGTCTCATTTAAAAAAAAAAAAAGTCAATGACTTCTTAAATAAAAAGTACAAAGTACATCTTTTCTTTCGGCCTTGGCTTTTGTGATATTAGACTCTTCCAGTTTCATTTCTGTGTGTTTTCTATTGCTGCCATAACAAAGAATCACAAATTCGGCAGGTTAAACACCCATTTAGTATCTCACAGTGAGTGGGTCAGAAGTCTGGTAACAGAATGGCTCAGCTGGATTCTCTGCTAAGGGCCTCACAAGGCAGGAATCAGGCTGAGGCTCTGGGGAAGTTTCTGCTTCCAAACCCATTACAGTGTTGATAGAATTCAGTTCCTTGTGATTGTAGGAACTAGTTTTCCTGTTTCTTTGACATATGATCCCCTTAGTCTCTACGTCAAAGGGGACATTTCTAATCCTTAGGCTTCAGATATCTGACTCCTCTTTTACTATCAGGCAGAAAATGAGCTCTGTTTTCCAGGGCTTATATGACTACATTAGGTCCACGTAGAAAATACAGGAGAAGCTCCCTGTTTTAAAATCAACTGATTAGCAACTTAAAATACATCTTCAAAGACCTTTTTGCCATGTAATATAACATATTCAAAGGAGTAATCCCAGGAGGTGAAGACCATGAAGGCCAACATTTTGCCTAACATTCTGTATCACTGCAACTCTTCCTTGGACTCCACTGTTAGGCCATCTCTATCTGTACTAAGGTTTTCAACCTTGACTGCATATTATGATTACCTGGAGAGCAATTTAAAAAATGGATGCCTCGTACTCAAGATCAACTAAAGCAGAATCTTTTAGGCGGGGCTGCCTCAGTGGGTTTCAAAAACTTTCCAGGTGATTCTAATGGCAGCCTAAACAGAACCATTGATCATTATTCTTTTCCTGAATCAGTTTATCAATTGATACACAAGCATTTAATCATCTTTGTAATAATAATTCTTCAGTCTGCATCTTTATCTCTAATCTTTCTTGCTTCATTCCAGACTCAAATTTCCAAAATGGCTACTGATGAGGAAATCAGTCCTTCTATGGTCAGTAGATCTTTGTGTCACATGTTCTAAAAATTTAAATCACAGCTAAAAAATATCTTTAATATTTTACTCTCCTAGGAAACTACTGCAACCTATTTTATAAACAAAATATTATTTATATGTGACCACTTTTGAACGTTTGCTAAAAGTCTTTTCAAAAAGGCTTTTGAACTTTGCTCACTCATAACAAAGTCTTTTTACCCTTCCCTGTTGAGTTGTCAATTGTTTTCCTATTTCCCACCTAAATATGGGTCACAAGGCCTTTCCTGCCTCTGGCCATGGAGCACTGCTCAAAGAAGTTTTAACATACACTTTTGTATATTTAAAAAAAAACAACAACATGTAAGTGTGATGTTCTAAGACACCAGGATATGATAGTCCCCAGATTTGGCTGTGAATACCCCATTCCTTCCTTGCTATAATGCCAGCCTTATGAACAACAGTTTCATTTAAATCCTGAACATGTGTTTTCATCCACAACAACCTAGAACAATTCAATATAGTTGTTCTGTAATGGCTTCAAATTCGACATATCTGAAACAAATTCACCAACTAATGATGGATTGCTCAATTGTCAATCCAGCCTTAACGACTAAAGATTTTCACCAGTGTAACCTTTCACAGAGCTCTCAGCTGAGCCAAATGTTAATTGGGGAAAGTGTGTGTGTGTAAAACACGTGTGTGTGTGTGTGTGTGTGTGTGTGTGTGTGAGAAACATATTTGATGTGCGTGTGTCTATATACATATGAATTACAAATATGTATATTTGGAAAATACTATGTAGCCAAGAATAGTAAGTCTCCTAGAAGGAAGCCATGAAAAGGCAGGATACAATACAGAGCACTGGTCTATGTAGTTCTTTAGTCTACAGTTCAGTAAATTCACCCCATTTTAAATTAATCTGCTTTTTATTTTTGGTACCAACTGTGGTAGAAAGATAATTTCTATATGATTCCTCATCCCATCCACATATCAGACTTTCTTTTTTTAGCCTTCAGTTATGCTTAAGGCTCTGCAAGGATAGGGTCCCTGCCTACCTCTGCAGCTGTATTTAGAGCCATTATCACCCTAACTCTCTGTCCTAACTATATGAATGTTCTGTTCCCCAAACACCCTAACTGCTCTCTCCACCTCTCTCTTCATCTCTGCTGATATTTCTGCCTGAATTTCTTTGTCCTGTTAACATCTGTATCCCTCAGTCTTAGCTTAAATACCTATCTTTTCTTCAGAGGGGTTTTCATTGGCTCCCTCCACCCGTAAAATCAAGTTAAGAGCATCACATTGCTTTTCAAATAGACCCTATTGTTTTGACCCTTATAGCATTATTCACAGTTTTAGTATAATTATTAATCTTTTATTGTGTGTCAAATGCACCACTAGATTACAATCAGTAAACTGTCAGGAACCATGGTTATTTTGTTTTCCTCTGTATACAGGGCCTTACCCAATTTCTAGTATTAGGTACTCTACTTATTGAATGAATAAATACATGAATGGAAGAATACATTTCTTAAAACATTTTTTGACCATCAAAGGTCATGTAGCTTGATAGAATAGTATTCTTTTTGTTCTCATATCTACTTTCTGATAATGGAAGGAGAAAATCTTAGTCATAGTACAGTGTACCTTTTGACCTAAATCCCATAAAATGTATCCAGTCTATATAAATATAATATTCAAGGGATATTGACTCTTCTGGTCAGTAGTAACCAGATTATATATTTCCATCTTTTCTATCTTGTAATAAAGTGTTGGTCATAGTCATCTGATCAGATCTGTGAGAACTATTGTGGAAAAAAGATCTATCATACACTAATATATGATTCCCTTTCCTCATCTCCCACTTGTTTTTACTCCAAAGAGTACACATAACCTTCAAAACTGCTCTTAATTCTTTCATGAGCAGTGATAGATACTTCCTGATGACAGTGATTTCTTGAAATCCAGTATTAAAAGATCATTTTCCTCTATGGAAAACATTATAATTGTTCTATCAATATTGGAAAAACTCATTCCGTTTTACTAAGTAACTCCCCTGAGGAATACTGTGGGGTCTTATCAGCCAATTATTTTCATTTGTGTTATTAAACTTACCTGTTGCTGATGTCCTAATTCATGTCTCATAAGCATCCTGGAATTGTCTATGTAGGAATTCAACTGGCTGTTTCAAAAAAAAAAAAAAATTAGTCAGGCTGGATTCACTGGAACAGGATTCCACTCCTATCATCTCCAAGCAAGAAAAGCCTTAAGTAGAGGACATAAAGAATTTACTAGATTCAAAGTTTTTATTAATTCTAAACTGGATATTAATAGTAATCTTCCCTCTATGAAAAGCAGAGTTTTTAACTCCAAAAAAATGGTTTTATTTCAACTACGGAATTTGTAGTCCTTCCATAAATCAGCATTACTATTCTGCACATTTAAGAATGGAGATCCAACTCTATTGTGGCTGTCCTAGTTGTAGTAAACCAACAGCTAATATCTTGGACTCAAGACTCCTCAGCAGAGCCATGTTCTACCTTCTTCCTAGGACAGAGAATTATGCAACAAGTTAAACCCCATGACACAGAGGCATTCACAACTATTCTCATTATTTCCTGCTCTCAGACCTCCAGGAATGTGTCCCAACACATGTGGACTCTGTATTCAGATATGTTACGCTGTCAACAGTAGAAAAAAGGAATGGAAGAGTTAACCAGAACCAGCAAAATTGGGGCTAAGGGAATTAACTTGGCAGTAGGGCTGGTCTTCAAGGAGAAGTATAAATTTGAACCTAGTTCAGACTTATGCTGATATTCAGAGGATACTACGTAAGAAGACAGAGCACTATAGGAAGAGTCTCTAGATAGTACCTATACTTGTTGTTGGGCATAATTTTGTCTGTAATTAGGTTAGTCCAGTTTGAAAGTGGCCTAAAAGAAAGTTCAGTCCCCAGGAAAAGCAGATTTACAGAAAAAAAGAAAGAGGATTAGAGTACTGGGTCAATGATGAGGAGGTTAAACCAAGATTACAGTCCCAGAAGCTAGACTGCACACCAGACAGGAAGCAGAAACCATGCACATGGACTAGTTACATATGTTGACCATTACTGGGCAGATTGCCCCTTAATGCAGAAGCAGGTGGCAAAGGGATTTGCCCAGGACACTAAAACTCAGCCTTGAGGCCACAGACAATTTCCAGACTATTCACTTATAAATTTGAACAGGTAAAGTACTCAGAAATTTGGTTTCTCCTCGTTCAGGGAGTTGCAAAATTTAACCTATAAGAGAAAGGTTGTTGGCGTTGGTGTTTGGACAAGACTGACAAAAAGCAAGAACTAAGTAATATATATCCATAAGAAAAATGAGGGTTAAGGAACTAGGAGACACTTTAATGGCTTTAGAATAGGAGTAATCATAGATTCTGTTCCATTAAAGTGGAATACATTCTTTCTGTGGCAGAGGTGTGTTGGGCGATTTTTTTTTTTTAATTGTACTTTAAGTTCTGGGGCACAGGGTACAGAACATGCAGGTTTGTTACATAGGTATACATGTGCCATGGTGGTTGGCTGTATCCATCACCCTATCATCTACATTAGGTATTTCTCTTAATGCTATCTCTCCCCTAGCCCTTCATCCCCTGACAGTCCCCAGTATGTGATGTTCCCCTCCCTGTGACCATGTGTTTTCATTGTTCAATTCCCACTTATGAGTGAGAACATGCGGTATTTGGTTCTCTGTTCTTGTGTTAGTTTGCTGAGAATGATGATTTCCAGCTTCATCCATGTCCTTGCAAAGGACATGAACTCATTTTTTAAGGCTGCATAGTATTCCATGGTGTATATGTGCCACATTTTCTTTATCCAGGCTATCATTGATGGGCATCTGGGTTGGTTCCAAGTCTTTGCTATTGTGAACAGTGCTGCAATAAACATACATGTGCATGTGTCTTTATAAGAGAACAATTTATAATTCTTTGGGTATATACCCAGTAATAGGATTACTGGGTAAAATGGTATTTCTAGTTCCAGAGCCTTGAGGAATCGCCACACTGTGTTCCAGAATGGTTGAACTAATTTACACTCCCACCAAAAGTGCAAAAGCATTCCTATTCCTCCACATCGTCTCCAGCATCTGTTGTCTCCTGACTTTTTAATGACTGCCATTCTAACTGGTGTGGGATGGTATCTCAATGTGGTTTTAATTTGTATTTCTCTAATGACCAGTGATGAGCTTTTTTTCATGTTTGTTGGCTGCATAAATGTCTCCATTTGAGAAGTGTCTGTTCATATTCTTCACCCACTTTTTGACGGGTTGTTTTCTTCCTGTAAATTTGTTTAAGTTCTTTGTAGATTTTGGATACTAGCCCTTTGTCAGATGGGAAGACTGCAAAAATTTTCTTCCATTCTGTAAGCTGCCTGTTACTCTGCTGATAGTTTCTTTTGCTGCATGGAAGCTCTTTAATTTAATTAGATCCCATTTGTCTATTTTGGCTTTTGTTGCCATTGCTTTTGGTATTTTAGTCATGAACATTTTTGCACACGCCTATGTCCTGAATGGCATTGTCTGGGTTTTCTTCTAGGGTTTTTATGGTTTTAGGTCTTATATTTAAATCTTTAATAAATCTTGAGTTAATTTTTGTATAAGGTGTAAAGAAAGGATCCAGTTTCATCTTCCTGCATATGGCTAGCCAGCTCCCAACACCATTTATTAAATAGAGAATTTTTTCCCCATTGCTTGTTTTTGTCAGGTTTGTCAAAGATCAGATGATTGTAGGTGTGCGGTGTTATTTCTGAGGACTCTGTTTCTCTTCCATTGGTCTATACATTTGTTTTGGTACCAGTACCATGCTGTTTTTGTTACCGTAGCCTTGTAGTACAGTTTGAAGTCAGCGTGATACCTCCAGCTTTGTTTTTGTTTGTTTGTTTGCTTGCTTAGAATTGTCTTGGCTATGTGGGCTCTTTCTTGGTTCCATATGAAATTTAAGGTGTTTTTTTTCCAATTCTGTGAAGAAAGTGAATGATAGCTTGGTAGGGATAGCACTCAATATATAGATTACTTTAGGCAGTATGCCCATTTTCACAATATTGATTCTTCCTAACCATGAGCATGGAATGTTTTTCCATTTGTTTGTGTCCACCCTTATTTCCTTAAGCAGTGGTTTGTAGTTCTCCTCGAGGAGGTCCTTCACATCCCTTGTAAGTTGTATTCCTAGGTGTTTAATTCTCTTTGTAGGAATTGTGAATGGAGGTTCACTCATGATTTGGCTCTCTGTTTGTCTGTTACTGGGGTATAGAAATGCTTGTGATTTTTGCACAATGACTTTGTATCTTGAGACTTTGCTGAATTTGCTTATCAGCTTAAGGAGATTTTAGGTTGAGACAATGGGGTCTTCTAAATATATAACCATGTTGTCTCCAAAGAGAGACAATTTGACTTCCTCTTTACCTATATGAATATCCTTTATTTCTTTCTCTTGCCTGATTGCCCTGGCCAGAACTTCCAATGCTATGTTGAATAGGCATAGTGAGAGGGCATCTCTGTCTTGTGCTGGTTTTCAAAGCAAATGCTTCCAGTTTTTGCCCATTCAGTATGATATTGGCTGTGGGTTTGTCATAAATAGCTCTTAATATTTTGAGGTCTGATCTGTCGATACCTAGTTTATTGAGAGTTTTTCGCATAAAGGGCTGCTGAATTTTGTCAAAGGCCTTCTCTGCAAGTATTGAGATAATCATGTGTTTTTTGTCTTTGGTTCTGTTTATGTGATGGATTATGTTTATTGATTTGCATATGTTGAACCAGCCTTGCATCCCAGGGATGAAGACGACTTGATTGTGATGGATAAGCTTTTTGTTGTGCTGTCAATTCAGTTTGCCTGTATCTTATTGAGGATTTTCACATCAATGTTCATCAGGGATATTGGCCTGAAATATTCCTTTTTGGTTGCGTCTCTGCCAGGTTTTGGTAGATAATGTTGGCATCATAAAAAGAGTTAGGGAGGATTCCCTCTTTTTCTATTGTTTGGAATAGTTGCATAAGGAATGGTACCAGCTCCTCTTTGTGCCTCTCATAGAATTTGGCTATGAAACCGTCAGGTCCTAGACTTTTTTTGGTTGGTAGGCTATTAATTGCTGCCTCAATTTGAGATCTTGTTATTGGTCTATTCAGGGATTTGACTTCTTCCTGGTTTAGTCTTGGGTGGGTGCAAGTGTCCAGGAATTTATCCATTTCTTCTACATTTTCTTTTTTATTTGCACAGAGGTGTTTATAGTATTCTCTGATGGTAGTTTGTACTTCTATGAGATTGGAGTGATGTTGCCTTTACCACTTTTTATTGCATCTCTTTTTTTTTTTCCCTTTTCTTCTTTATTAGTCTGGCTAGTGGTTTATCTACTTTGTTGATCTTTTCAAAAAACCAGCTCCTGGATTCACTGATTTTTTTTTTTTTTGAAGGTTTTATTGTGTTTCTATGTCCTTCAGTTCTGCTCTGATCTTAGTTATTCCTTGTCTTCTGCTGGCTTTGGAAATTGTTTGTTCTTGCTTCTCTAGTTATTTTAATTTTGACTTTAGGGTGTCTATTTTCGATCTTTCCTCCTTTCTCTTTTGGGCATTTAGCGCTATAAATTTCCCTCTACACACTGCTTTAAATGTGTCCTGGAGATTCTGGTATGTTGTGTCTTTGTTCTCATTGGTTTCAAAGAACATCTTTATCTCTGCCTTCATTTTATTAATTATCCAGTTGTTATTTAGGAGCAGGTTGTTCAGTTTCCATGTAGTTGTGCAGTTTTGAGTGAGTTTCTTAATCCTGAGTTCTAATTTGATTACACTGTGGTCTGAGAGACTTTTTATGATTCCCATTCTTTTGCATTTGCTGAGGAGTGTCTTACTTCAATTATGTGGTCAATTTTAGAATGGGTGTGATGTGGTGATGAGAAGAATGTATATTCTATTGATTTGGCATGGAGGGTTCTGTAGATGTCTATTAGGTCCGCTTATTCCAGAGCTGAGTTTAAGTCCTAGATATCCCTGTTAATTTTCCGTTTCGTCGATCTGTCTAATATTGACAGTGAGGTGTTAAAGTGTCCCACCATTATTGTGTGGGAGTCTAAGTCTCTTTGTAGGTCTCTAAGAACTTGCTTTATGAATCTGTGTGCTCCTGCATTGGGTGCATATATATTTAGGA